TCTTTCCCATCTTTTCTATTTGGTAACAGCAATGAGCCAGAACAAGATTAGAAATCAAAATGAGCCAAATGGAATATCAAATTTCTTATACCTGGCCAAACTTCTGACATATTACTGAGCCTGCAGTTCTTCTGTCCCGTGATTTAAAAACATTATTTTCTTGTTGGATATATCGGTAAAAGTCAAAATCAAAGGTCAAGAAAAATCTCACATAAATTTTCTTCATATAATTCAAAGTAATAAATTTAAACATTTTCATTTCACAGCTTACTGTGAATCTAGATTTTCAATGATTTTAACCAAATAAAATTTTGAATACAGATAACTTTACAATTCTGGAAAATAATTCACAAGATACCCTTGTAGGCCACTATTCTTAATTGAGGACTGCCCCCACCTCGAATAAAATGATGCGAGTGATATAACACATAATGATACATTACCATCAACATTAACATAATTTGCACAGCTACATTATTACCAACATAAAAATAATCCCTTCAAATCCAATTTTTCACATATTTTAGGTATTATTCATCACAGCAAGAGATAACAAAATCTTCTTCTAATCTCTAGACTACCCCTCGGCTGCGGGCAACACCTGTATCTTTCCCGACGCAGAGTAGAATCCATTATTGGCAGTTGTGTAACGGACAGAAAGGTGGACCTCCTCGATTTCCATCTCTCCAAAATAATAGTCTTGAAATTCCTGATCGACAAAAAACAATCAAAAGATATAATTACACAAGTCTGTAGAATTATTTCAGAGAGTCCACACACACACACACACACACACACACACACACACACACAAAAAAATATAAATATATATATACACACAGACATATATATATACACATATATACATATATATACCTATATATCTACATACACATACAAATGATGGGTAATATTAAGAGATTTGGATATTTCAAGAAAAGAACCTATCGATACATGATTTTTTAACTAAACGTGGACTAACCTCCAAGATTTGTCGTGCTGAGAAAGTTTCACGGTCCCGTCCAGCCTTTGCTTCTGTGACTCCATCTGAATCTCTCCTAAAGATTGTATTCATCAGGGTTATGTGCAGCTTCACTCTTTCATACTGTTTGGTTACTAAACCTGAAAAATGTAAAAGGTATTTTCCAGCATTTCTCCATAACAGATACTATAATATACAGAGGGAAAAAATATGAAAAAATGATGACTATATTTTGAAGAAACAATCTTCTAAAAATTTAACAACAATTTATACTGTTCCCTACTCCTAAAAAAATTGCAATTTATCATCAATAACCTTCAAATCTATAAAGAATAGGCAAAACAGGCAAAAATACAAATCCCAATATGACAATAAACATTAATTACCAGGTAATCTCAGCATGATAACAAAAAATAAAGAGATAAAAGTAAATGGACAATTCAAGCCCTAATTACAATAATCAAAAGCAATTACCTGAATTTATATCCTATAAAAGACCTATGAAATATAAGCCACTGTTCCATATCTTCATTCTACATACTTAATAGTCTGTGATGCCCTTTTTATGCATTCTACTGCATAGTACCTAGTTTCAAGCAATTCTGAAGGAGAATCAACATCAAGAAAGCTTAGATTTAGGTAAGTACAGTATAAGTACTACTGCTATACATAGGATCGGAAAATTTCTGGTAAGTGATGCATCCAGTCTTTGGAAATGACCGTTGAGGATGACATGTCTTCCTAATAATATATTCTGCTCCTGATAGTTCTGACAGATACCTTCATCCTTCTTTACTTGAAGTCCTAATACAAAAGCCAAAAATTTTACAAAAGCATGAAATCTTACCGGCCTTGACAAATTCCTCAACCAGAGAGTCTGCTATCGTCTGGAGAGAATGCGACCAGCTCAGAGCATTTACTTGGCCATATAATACATCCACTTCACCCGGGTCATCGTTCATGTATTCAATTCCTTTCATTTCTAAGCGTAGTTTTTCTCCAGCTAAAAGTCGTCTGCAATTTCAAACACTTGATAATGCCTGGTCTACTTGAGAAAATTTTTATACATTTTTCTTTGACAATAAACTGAAATTATTGCTTATTCATCCCTTGCATGAATAAGGAGTTATCATTTACATTAAGACCATATTAAGAAACTCTTTCCTCTCTTTTCTCTTTCTTTTTTTAGTCTAATAGGCTAAAAAAAAAAAAATACAATACTACAATATACATATTTCAGTTTGAAACTCACATTAAAAAAATTATTTCTATTGTCAATATGCTAAATAAACTTCATATTATGTTGAAGAATGAGCAACATCATAACTTTAAGCAGAATGTTAAGGAAATCCTTCTTCAGCATCAAAAACACTACAATACCAACTTTAAGACATTTTCGGGACACATATTGAGAGTTTCGACAGCCTGACGCCGTTCCCGGTCATCAGCAAGCACCATCACACATAATGTTAAATGAAGCTTATTAGGATCCTGGAATATAGATTCATCGACACCTCTGCTTTCCCCACATTTCTCAAGAACTCCTTTCTGTCAGGGTTAAAATAAAATAAACAGAATAAGTTTAAAAAACTGTATATCACATTCTCAAATCTATAAGTATGTGAGAATTCAAATTGAAATTTGAATCAAGATTTTGACTAGTTTTTGCATGATGGACTGGAACTATGATAGGGTTGTACATGGACATCATATGGTACAGGAAGGTATGTAATCATGAAAATATTTATATAAATGTAATATAGGCTTTCTACAGAACTCATCTAAAACAAAACAATTATCTTGAAACTTAGAAACAAACGTCCATTACTACACATACAAAAAAATAAACACATATGTGCATGCATACACATACATATAGAAAGTCACAAAAAACAGAGCAGACACATTTAAAAATATGTATAATTTTCTTACCTTAAATTCCAAGAACTTCTCTTGAATATTCGGCTTGTTAAAAGGTATCGACAGGAAATGTGTGAATGGCTGTTTTTTCCGAGCCTGATCCACTAGTAATTCAACTTTCAATCGCGCCTGACGCACAGTCTTCATATCCTTCCCGACCACCACTAGTTATGAGAAAATAAAAAAAAATCTTATCATAATAAATTCCAAATTAGCAAAATTCAGGCTCAGGTCTTGTCCAGTATCCATGGCATAAGAAATCAAGGTCTATAGAAAATCAACCCAATGCTGATGGACATGGCTTGTACGTACGTGCCATGCCCATTGTGAGTTTACTTTATTAATTGTTTTTACACATAGCTACACTTGTACTAAGTCTCTAACGAGCCAATTGCGAGTACTGCCTGTCTTGCCCATTTATCCTTTTCCTTGACTTAAAACATTTTACATTATCTTATTTTGCTTTAATTAATGTTTACAACATCAGAGCAATTATAATCTCTATAATAAAAATAACACCACCAATATTCATAGCATTCTTAAAAAATATGTTTTTCTCGCCAATTAAAGAAATGGTGAAATTTGGTAAGGTCACAAAGTCTACTAATTGACTCCTTTGTGGCTATAAGCACTAGCAGAGCCATCCATATGCAGAGACATTTCACAAAAATATGAAAAATGAGCACAGCATTTTCCCCAGTGGCATGTGGTTAAGTTGAATCCCCCTTAGCTAACTGATGTTGGGAGTGCATGCATACATGTACTGTCCACTGTCATTTTATTCTATTTATCTAGTTTACACATAGATGGCTCCAGAGACCCAAAGTCAGTAAAGAGCCAATAACTATGCTTATCAGATCTCACTTAATAATATTATATTAACAGTCAGGTTAACAGCAATAATAACATCACTGAAAATAGCAATAACAGTATATGAAATTCAACTTTTTCCCTTAAGAACTGAAGGAATGGGGTAAAACAGATGAGATCGGGTAGAGCTAGTGACTGACTCCTTGCTGACTAAACACTTATGAAGCTCATGAGTAAACAAAATTGCTAAAACAAAACTACAGCGGACTGGGCACACTCCAGCCATCAATGGGTTATTAGGACACAGTACCCATTCCCTTTTTCATATGCTGATCACATATACACTATCTTTTTTTAATTAATTAATTTATTTTTTATTTTCTTTTTTTTTGTGATATACCAGCTATATAACAAACTAAGAAACTATCTAATTAATCAATAATTATTATATTGAAAAAAAAAAAATGATACTACTTCTAATAGTAGTATTAGTAATAATCATGAAAAGTAGCAATGGTAATGACAGGAACTGTGCTGATTGTTATTAAAAAAAACAAAACAAAAAACAATATCATAATGATAAAAACAATATTAACAATAACAATAACAATAATAATAAAAATATCAATAATAACAATAACAACAACAATCATAATAAATAACAGTAATAACAATAACAATAATAATAATAATAATAATAATAATAATAATAATAATAACAATAATAATAATAATAATAATAATAATAATAATAATAATAACAATAATCATAATAATAATAATAATAATAATAATAATAATAATAATAATAATAATAATTTTTTTCAATAATTCAAATACTTTTTCTTCTAAAGTGACAATATATTCTTACCAATATCTCCGACTTGTCCTTTTCCAGGTATATGAATATTCGTGTATGTGTCTGTTTCAATTCTTTTCTTTGTAGCTCCTTTTGCTCCAATGATGTATGAAAAATATGTGCTGAAATGAAAATAAAAATTAATTAGAGCATATAACTGATTTGCATACATTTACTGTTGATGTCTATTCATAATATGATATATAAAGTTTATCATGTATTCAGGATTCCATATAATAAAATATCTATCTAATAATATCTTACTTGCTATTTTATTTATCAATCTATAGCAGCTGATAAGACTATATTAGAAGATTCATATCATATTTGTAGAAATAGAGTCATATTAAAAAATATATACATATCATATTTACAGAAATATAGCTGTATATTAAAAAATAACCAATTTTTATATACACATACACTTCT